GAAGGGAAGGCCTCTGCGGCGCAACTTGAGGTTTAAAGTTTAAATCCCCCCCAGTCATGCCACAGAGCCGCTGCCCCCAAGCTAGCCCCCCCTGCCTTCCCCAGCCCACCCGCTGAAGCGAGCAAGCCAGGTAAAGCATGGAAAGTGCCCCTCTGTCTTTTAAGGTATCCAGTCTTAGAATCTGATGCCAAACCTTCATGTAGAAAGGGAATGATGTCTTTGTAAGTAAGTTTCAGTGGATCCAGCTTTTTGGTACTGGTCCACTTTTGAATGTCTGCCATATATGATTATAGAGATGACTGGAAGCAGGTATTCTGGACTGCACCTGTCAACTACTTAAGTTGGAAGGCCCAGTCCTACTAAATCCTCCAGTACACTCCCTAAACTGTCAGCTAGAGTCAACTAGGGTCCAGGTGGCAAGTGGATTCTTGTACAAGGAGAATCCATCACTCCACGGTGAAGACACTGACATCTTCACTAGCTTTGAGACCCAAAAACTTCTGTGCCAGAAAGGATATGAAAATCACCTCCGTTGTCTCCTTTGACACTTTGTTCAGGCCTCAGATGATCAGTGTGGTTGAAGGAAGTGTACAGCAGACCACTGCCTCAACAAGTGCATGTGCCCTTGCCCTCTGCCCTGCAATCATAGAAACTGATTAGAAATCTGACAATTTGGTTATAGTTTGATGTTGTAAAAAGATCCAAGATAGGACTCCTGAAACAAAGTGTGATTTTACTAGAAGATCTTTTTGTTTAGACTCCATTCTCCTGGATCTAAATCCTCCCTTCTCAGCCAGTTGGCTTGGCAGTTTGCAAGACTGTAAAGGTGTTCCACTTTTAAAGCTACCATTTCCCCCACCACCACCCAAATGAACAGAATTTTGGACTCATGGAGGAGCACCATCAATCTGGTGCCTCCCTGCCAATTGTTGTGCGCCTTGGCCGTAGTACTGACTGTACCCTAGCACATACCTGTTCCTCAATAGGATTCGGAAAGCAAGCAGTGCTAGTCTGACAGCCCCAAGTTCCAGTCAGTCCTTACTATTCATATCTTCCAACGGGCTCCATATGCCTTGGACAACCTGATCCTTGCAGTGTGTTCCCCGGCCCCTGCTGCTAGTGGCCATAACTGCCATCAGGTAGGGAGACTGGAGGAAACTAAATCCCCTTGTCAGATTTGGTCATGAAGCCCACTAGTTTAGTGACTTCTTGGGGGGGGGGAGCAGTATCTTGACATCTGTGCTCCCCTTTGTGTGTGTGTGTGTGTCCTTCTGAGAAGGGAGAAGAGTCCATTGTAAAGGCCCGGCATGGAAGCAGGCCCAAGGAATCAGATCTGTGGACTACATCCTCAGTCCCAGTACTGTCAACCACTGCATGAGGTCCACTGACATCTGCCAGATTTCTTTCACCCCTTCCAACAATTTTTCCTGCTTCTTTGTAGGTAGAAACCCTTCGGCTATCCTCATCTGAATCCTGGCCCCTAAGTGGACCATGTCCCTGGAGGGTGTGAGATGATTAATATTATTTTTTAACACACTAATCAGGCATCCTTGTGCCTGAAGAGATTGCCTAATGGACTTGCTATTTCTTCTGGTGTAGGGCTTGTTTTCTTTTAAGCAAGGACTTATATCCATAACTATTTCTTGAGTCCCTTCTTCCATGAATGCTGGCTGGTTTTCAAAACCTCACTCTTTCTTTCCCAACAACCATCCCTTTCTTCCACAAGACTCTGCATATTTTGGATTTGGTTTTCATTTTTATTTATATCTTGCTTTGCTCTTTAATACTTTTCAACTGCGTTATTACAAGAGTCTTTAACAGCTTGAGTAATTTCTTTTATCAGAAAATTTCTAAATTGTTACATAGTAAGTGTTTCAAATTTTGTTTCTGGATCTAACTCTTCATCACCTTCAATCAGCTCCATTTTGCCACTCCCGTTTTTCACCATTTTTTGCCTTGTTTATAATTCAGCGGTTCACTAATTATTATTTCCAACATGCAATAGCAGTTCAAACATGACAAAAATTCCTCTTACCCCCATCATTTCACTTCAGACCTCGTTTCCAGTTGCTTCTAGGCCACTTTCTTATACTTGAGAATATTTGCTGGGGGTATTAAAATACAAATTTGCCTATTTTTCCTTGTTCATACGTGAATAAGTAGCCTCCTTGTGTTGTGCTGAATACATAAGCTGTAAATCCAAAAATCTTTAAAAACAAGCCGGTTGTCGCTGCTAGTAGATCATGGCGTCCATGATCTCCCACAAGATGCTCCCGCGTCGGGGCAGTACCAGACACCCCACCGCATTTGCTGAGTGCGAGAGGGGCCAGAACAAAGCCCCCTGCTATCGGACCTCTCTGCGGGAAGTCTGACGGAGCTCCCCCCGTCCGGGGGGGCTCCCAAAGAAGTGAGAAGGGGTCGGGGGTCTCAGAACAGCCCGAGGATCCACGCATCGTGCGCCGTACTGGAACAGGAAGTCAGAAATGCTGTTCTAAGGGCACTGGTGCCACTGTCCCTACGTCCATTAAATTTGAATAGGTCACAACAGAAGAAAGGGTGTCTTTGTTCTGTCTTGGGAAGTGGGGAGGCATGAAAGTGAGGAAACTGCTGGAACTGACCCCCAACCATAGAGTCAGGAGGTTGAGCTTTGTTTTGTTGGTTCCTGTCCTGTTTCTTAGGAGGGAGCTGACTGTTGAAATCTAGACCTATATAGCCAAAGGTGCGGGAGCGTCTAAAGTCCTTTTGTTTCTGAATTTTTTTTTAATGCTGATGAATTTAAAATAGACAGGGGGTCCACCTTTCAGTGATTTAGCCATAGGTTCATTCTTACCACTATATGATGGCCTGTGCTCTGGCACCAAACTGCATGACCTCTTAGGATGCATCTGCTGCAGATTTTGCAGCCCTTTTAATCCTTAGGATAGATCTCTTAAGTGTCAAGGGGCCAGTGTTGCCGTCTTGAAGTTGGTTAGCAGCCCAAAATCTGAGGGCATGGCAGGTGGCTCAGACCATCAGAGAGGAGGCTGCTTCAGGGGTCCCCCTAGGAGCATCTCATTATGATTAATATTTTTATCCACTGAATTGTTACATGCGTTGGCCACAGCCGTAGACAAAACTGCTCCTGAATGCCTGCAAGAAAGTGTCCATTCTGCCTTTGGTACGTAATCAAAAAAATTGTATATGGACACTTTGAGGACCCTTTGGATGGTTTCTCAAATCCTCTAGTATCTAAATTAGATTAAACTGATGATCTAGGATTTTTTGTTGTTGTATCCAACTGGTAGTTAAGGCAAAGGCACTTTAAAAAAAAAACCTCTGGAGATGTTCCAGTCAGAAAGGCCTAGGAGAATTTCCACAGGAAAGGCCTAGGGAAATTTTCTGACAATTCCCCTTCCTCTTTATCAGAGCTTGCTGTCATATATCCTGTGGCTGAAAAGAGCCCCTCCACCCCTGAACCCAAGCCTGACATGGGTGGTGAGAGAAGGGGGGACATCTCTCTGACTAGCTCTCAAAAGCTCCTGATGTTGCCGGTGCTAGTGTCCTTGTCGGTGAGATCAGCCACGGCCACTGCTTGGCCAGGTACCCTTAGCCACGGAAAGGCCAACATGATTCCTGGTTGCATGCGCACAGGGCTGGGGGAAGCCCAGGCCAGACTAAAGGCCTAAAGAGGGAGGGCAGAAAAAGTGTGGGGAAAACCCTGAGCAGCCACCCTATTGGAATTTCCCTGAACTGCCGAGTCCATGCTGGGAAAGGCCTCAGAGAAGGCTTGGGGGAAGGGGGCTGCTCTGCTGCGCGTACTTGGATCAGCCCCTTGTTCGCCTTGGGGGTCCTCATACCAGTCCTCTTGCTCCCTGTAGGCCCGGAAGCCTCCGAGTCTGTATGGGGCAGGCCAGATGCTGCGATCTCCTCATGGTTGTTGGACCTAGTAGAGCTCTGCTGGGTTTTTCCAGTGCAGTTGGGGGCCGGCTGCATTACCGACCCAAAGCCTCGGGTCTGGCAGCACCGACAGAGGCTCGTGCCAGACTCAGATGCCTGAATCCTCAGGTGGGAGAGGTCTGCCACCACGGTCTCCCACGGAGGGCAGTTTGTGGCACTGTAGATGTTTCTGCCGTTGGCCAGTCTCTGGTGCCTGGAACCTCAGGCAGGAGAAGCTGGTCTTAAAGGTCTCTTTTTTCTTCTTTTAAGACCAAAGATGGGGCCTTTCTTCAAGGCTTTTCCATGTTCCATATAAGGCGAGAGTCTCCAAGAAAAGCAGAGGTAGGCTCAAGCGTCCTGCTGGAGCGGCAGGGCTATTGAAACTGGAGGGTCAGCCGCACTCTAAGCCAATACAGTCTACACAAATCTGCATAGCCCTGCCTGGAGCAAGAGGAGGCAGCGTAACCTAACCAGTCTGGATGACTTCCCCCACTGAAGCTATTTTCTTGCATGTCGCCTGAATTCTCATGGTCTGAACTAAATTTTTTGCTAAAAAGGGTAAATTTTCTACTCTTGATTCTGCTAATGACTTAGGAACTAAAATATCAACTGAAGACTCTGGCCACTGCATACTATTTGGAAAGAAAGTCTCATATGGATTGTTTACTACAGAATTTTGTTTTCAGCCTTTTAACTTTTACTTTTCTTACTTTCCAGAATGCAAAAATTAAAGATACATGTGCCTTTTGGTAGCACAGGGCACAGCAATTTGCAACTCCTTCTCAAGTATTGGATATACTTCAATTTGCCTTGAAGAAAATTAAGTTATTTATACTTTGAAATTCCATCTATACTCCAAATACTAAAATTTTATGTTAACTATGTTATAAATTATGCATTTGATCTTGTTATTAAATAAATAAAAATTGTAGGAAAGTATTGCATATATTTCATGTTACCCGACCCCCCTTTCAAAAACAATAATTAAAAGGGGGGGGCGAGGGGATTAAGAGCGCAAAGAAAAATGGTTAACGTCTTGACAAACATCCCCTCCCACCAGTCCCTTATTCCGAGCAAGACCTTACCCAATTGGCTCCAAAGGGGGACAAGCAGGTGGTTTTGTTTCCTGGGAATGGTTCTGCAAAAAATCTATCATTGACTGGCGGACCATCTGAAGTTCCCGATCTGAACCTGGTACAAAAAGAAGCCAGTAAATAACACATGTATGGGCTGGTTCTTGACCTAAGACTTTCATAGCCCCATAGGATACCTATTGCTTGCAACTGCAGCAATCCACCCACATACTTCTTAGGATCAGACAGTGAGTAGCATATATTGGGGAATGAGAGTATGTGAAGGTCAGGGCCTTAAGTGATGTTGAAACAGCAGTAGCCTGAAGCAAATCTTGGCCAGTGTGATCACTATCTCCAATCCTCTATCTGACAACTTTAACCCAAGTGGCTTCTGAATGAATTCAGTCCAGCACCTCTGAGGGAAATGCAAAAAAGGTAACTTTTATTTACCCACAGGGACAGGAGAATAAGGTGGTTAAGAAAAGAGGATAGAAACTATTTACAGGTGAAACACAGTCTTGCTGGGTCCATTTATTTATACCGTTGATCATTTAGGGGTGCAAACAGCCATGTTTTCCCTAGAAATTAGATTCCACAGTCTCCTAGCAGAAGATTTCTTTCAGCCCACTCCTCTGGGGGCAAGATTCTATTTCCACCTTTTACTATTTTTGCCTGTCCTCACTCAAAAGGCAGACTCTGAGATTTGTGAAGTCACCTGAGAGAGAACCTCTCCAATCTATAACTCTGGAGCCACAATACAAGCCCTTCCTCTCACCCCCTCTCCCACCGGGCTCCTCCACCCCTTCCAGGGATGCCGACTGGCTGCCTGTTGCTCTGCTCACACACAAAACGAGACCAAAGAGGACTGGTGGCGCTTTCCCCAGGATGGGCAGGGCCTTTGCCCATCCACATCACATCCTGGAATGGCTCAAGGACCCGTCGGCTGTTAAGTGATCACTGAAATCACTTGACAGCTGCCTAACAGCTTGAAGCAGGAATACTGGAGAAGGGCATACAGGGACAGTTTAAGGCATTCCCAGGGAGGTTTTCCCAGAGCCCAGAACCTACAGACAGAAAACGTAATGCCAATAAGTTTATACTTATTCACACGTTCTGGGAAGTAAACCCAACAGTAGAGAGCTGGTTGGGATTCTAAGTATGTCTACATGATACATTGCTACACCAGTCGTACTGGAGTTCTCCCAACCTGGCTTGCATTTCCTGCAGACACATGGTGGCTGGGGGAGGCTTCTCAGTATTTGGACCGGCACCACAGCGCACAAGGAGAAGGGGCTGCAGCCTGCACTGTTTCCCTGCCCTCAAATGGCCCAGGAAGCTGCCTTATGCCCTGCAGTCCCACAAGAGGACAAAAAGCCCTCCCAGACATTTAGGGTCAGGGAAACAGTGCAGGGGATGAGCCGCAGCCCCTCCTCCTGCACTGCATTCACAGTCCAAACTGGGCCTCGTGGGGCTTGGTGAAATACCGTCCCCACGGCTGCTCTGTGGTTCTGAGGAATGTGACTCAGGCCAGGACAACCCCAACGGTATATTGTGTTGCTCAGGCCTTAGACCAACTCTGGTGATAGCAGAGTTTACTATTTAGATCATAATTAAAACAGTTTAAAATATTTTTCTACTTGGAAACCAGCCTGATTTCTTAGAATTAGTACATCAGTTCAAAGGTCACTGTGTGACCCTCCAGGTGCTGGATGTTGTGGGAAAGCACACACACACAGAGAGCGAGCAATTGTCTTACCATGCTGGTTTTCTCCAGTCGTGAACTGTGTTGAAAAAGCTCTGAAGTACTGTGAGAAGGATTAAAGGAGATGCTTTGATTAGAATAGCCACCACTGCTCATAACAAAGCCAAGCACCTTCAGGGGAACACTATCCTGCATTACAAATAGTCTAACGATATTGTTGCTCAATCTCCAGCGTCATCGTCAATTGGTATCTGCTGCCCAGATCCAAGAAAACAGGGAAAGTTAGAACAGACCCACGAGCAAAATCATAATTCTTCAACACAACTCATGCAATCTTTAAACCATATTTTAAACAAATCACAGTGAATGATGGTGTGATTTCAAACTCTCCTGGAGACATTACTGGAAGTTTCATCGTTGCAAGAGAACAAGACTAAGATATGAGAATCTAAGATTTCAAAATGTGTTGCAGATACATACAGATGGTTAAAGCAGGAACACAGCAAGCTGGGTTCAGTCTGCTTGCATGGCGGGGGTGTGTGTGTGCCAATCCCCCCCCCCCCCAGTTGGTGCTATTTTACTGTGTCACTAGGATTATTGGCTAATGATCGAAATAGTGTAAAGTGTAAAAGCAAAAGAAAGAAAGATGCCTGGAACTGCAGGAACCAAAGAATAAGTAGCTAAGGGGAAGTACTTGAAGAAGGCAATGTTTGTGGTGGGCAGCTTAGCAGAATGCCAGAGTCTACCAGTGCTGCTGTTTCCTCCAGGAGAACGGATCTCTGTAGTCTGGAGATCAGTTATGATTCTGGGAGAACTCCAGGCCCCTCTTGGAGGTTGGTACTACTAGCGGGCAGAAATAATGCAAAGACAGCAAATCAGGAAATGCACAGTAGCTGTTTATTTTTTTAATTTATTTACATTTCTATCCCGCCCTCCCCGCCATTCGGCAGGCTCAGGGCGGCTAACAACATATACAAAAATACATTAAAATTCCATTAAAACTGTCAATCAATATAAAATCATACAACTTATATTAAAAGATGGCATATCTTCCGATCTCAACTGTCAACTTAGTGT